TCTATCTACGAACCGACTGCGAACACGTAAAGACGAAAGTTTGCCCATTGTTCTCAGGTTGGACAGCGCTCACCTCAGGCCTACTCGCACGCGCCATTTGGCTCTCACCAGGCGAACGCACACAAACACACACTCACTCGAATTGGAGCGTTCAGAGCCGTGATGCTGGGCTGTACGCGTTCGTTGTGCTGATGGTCGCATCACGCACACACACCATTCCGCTTTTCCGAGCGTGTTAGCTATGGCAGTATGAACGTGTTGGAGGACCACCACATAAGCACACCTTGGACCGCAAGCACGACGGCACATGAACAGTCCCAAGGCCAGATAGGCTACACTACGGGACTCGCATAGAGGACGCGATTGAATGACTCATCAGTCTCGGAAAAAGAATCGAGGCCGAAGCCCGCTCAGAGCGCGTGCGTACGCACACCGACATGTGGGTCATATTGACACAATCTAACAAAGCCCTAACTACATTGCTGAACCAATAGGGCCAAGAGAAAAAGAACGCGTGTGCGAAGAGGAGTGTGAACCGACCAGGCAGATCGTGAGCGGCATATGCTTGTGTATGCGTGTTTTCGTGGTGGAAGGAACGACCTCGTGCAGACTAGCTAGGCGGCACACCTACACAAAGCAGCGTGTCAGCCACATTCAAGTGGTGGCAGAGTGCGGATGTGGAGGGTCAAATCGGACACCGGAGCGATCCAGCCATCTGCTTGCCTACCATTGACTGGTTAACAGGCGCGCGCGCACGCACGCGAGCACACAAAGAGATGCGTCAGGGTCAACTGGGTGTGTGTGATAGGGACAACCGCGACCAGCACCGGAGATCTATGGAACACTCTAAGCTCATGAAAATTGTTTTTCAGAGGTAGTGCCATTTATAGAACAAAGTAAATCTTAAAATACTGTCTCGTCGCAGTAACGCATGTACCAACCAGAGTTGCGTGCCCATCAAAAATTGTTTCTCATCTGTCTGTCTGATGACATAAGCGATTGTTGAACCTGTAGATGATCATTTACAGAACGATCTGTTAAACTGCTGCCTTTGGAGTTTTGTTTGGCCTTATCAACCGGAACAACAATGAGTCGATCGTAAAAGGAGTGAGCAGATCTCTGTCAAACATCACCAACTGAATTCTAAAATTCCTGTCCGCGGTAGCAAGAGACGTGTTGGCGAAGGGAGGGGAATCACTATTACTTTGTGATAACCAACACAAAACTTACTACACCTTTTCCCATCAAGCTTCAGCAAAAACCCGCAATACTTTAGCCTCGACCCTTAATCCTTTAGCCAAGATTCGTAGTCCTTTACCCTCAACGCACAAACATTAGTCACGCCGCATTAGGCGAGTCAGGTGAAAAAGTATCGGAATATTCTGAAGTCAACGAATGTTGAAAAACATTATTTTCTATAAATGTTGATGCTGCAAAGCTTGGTTAGGAAATAAGGTGTGGGGTTGCATGCTGCAACACGTTAATTGGAGAGGGTTTAACCGACGTGCCCGTATCGTCAAATCATTTGACACATCTCGTACAGCTTCAATGTTTCTGTATAAGATGCGACACTTTTAGGAGTAAAAATCTCAGATGTAACTCAAACGATACATTGCTTTACATTCACAAACCCTGAAATAAATCAAAAGGTATATGCTTACCGCTTCGTATATCCACTTAAAGTGAAATCTGTTCGTGAGATGTGATGAATTAACAGACCATCAAGAGTGCCTGGTGCTTCTGAGCAATGGAATAGGTTAATCCAAGCTTGATACTCTAAATTGATTGAGCCATTCGCACAAGCTGATGACTTTCGACGGTGTAAGCGATTGAAGTCCCGGCCCGAATGTTTGCGGTTCGAGTCCTGGCAGGTACACAAAAATATGCACTAATAACGTGTACCAAACAGCTGTCCAGTGCTCTGTGTCGGTCACCACAAACATTACTATCGCATTTGTCTCGTGAGGAATCAACCATTTCCAAAAGGAGTGAAATCCCCACCTAAGGCCATCAATAGTGCCTGATGCCTCTGAATAAGAAGAGTGATACTCGAAAAAGTTTATGCTTACCGTTTCGCATAATTAGTTAAAGCGGATGTGGATACATTAACATGTCCAGAATAATAAGCACTGTTCACAAAAGACCCTCTTCAGAACACCGGTTCCCAAGAATCGACAGACAAAACCTGTAGTGATTGAGCCTAGACCGTGGTAATTATGACATGTTGCAGTGTTGATAAACTGATGATAGTCATGAGGGTGTACCTTTACGAGTGGTTTATTATCCTCGGCACGTTTATATGCCCACTTCTGCTGAGCAAAGTTTACTTGTGAATGCAAAACAATGTATCGTTTGAGTTACATCTGAGATTTTTACTCCTAAAAGTGTCGCATCTTATACAGAAACATTGAAGCTGTACGAGATGTGTCAAATGATTTGACGATACGGGCACGTCGGTTAAACCCTCTCCAATTAACGTGTTGCAGCATGCAACCCCACACCTTATTTCCTAACCAAGCTTTGCAGCATCAACATTTATAGAAAATAATGTTTTTCAACATTCGTTGACTTCAGAATATTCCGATACTTTTTCACCTGACTCGCCTAATGCGGCGTGACTAATGTTTGTGCGTTGAGGGTAAAGGACTACGAATCTTGGCTAAAGGATTAAGGGTCGAGGCTAAAGTATTGCGGGTTTTTGCTGAAGCTTGATGGGAAAAGATGTTGTAGTAACCGAATCAGTTTCGCGCGCGTGCACACACTAAGTTTTATCCAACTCGAGAACGTGACAGAAGATTGCTTGGTAGATAAATGCAATCGATGCATGCATATGTATATGTACATGGCAAAAATTAGGAACAATTACACATAGTAGGGACGCAAATCATAACAATTAGAGAATAATAATAAAAATAGAATTTCATGAGGATAGAAAAATGCGATGTGGTTGATTGGTAGCTGAGAGTTCCAAGGTTCACAAACAAACAGACAGGAGTGCACACATGTGCATCCGTGGTGTGTGCTTAAGATCATTTTTGTACAAAAAGAAAGTAAAAGATAAATTGAGAATCGAACACTTGTCGTTCCGTCACGCCCCACCCAATTAATCGTTCATGACCAGAAGACGCTTTCGAGCAGAGTGGAAGGGAATTATTCTGTGTTGACTAGGGTATGATAAACCGGTGGGAGGGGGACCGGTGAGAACGAAAGCGAAAGGGCGGACCAGTTAAAATGGATAGTGACCGAAAATAGATAGATACTATGGGTCGTAAACTTTGAAAGTGAGTATGCGAGACCACAAAGGAGTAATCCCGACCCGGAATGCACTTACGAAGAGTGAGTTAACAATCACACACACACACATGTATGCAGGCACGAAACAACAGGTGAAGGGAGGAGGGGATGCGAAGAGCGTGCGCATTGGGATAAACGGACAGAACGAAAGCCAAGAGGTCGTTTGGTGAACAATACACGATAAATGCTGAGTGGGCCTATGCTTGGGTGGTGTGTTGGTGATAATTACCGGCAGACGTATCGCGATTAGTTGACAAGTTCGGCCGGTTGGTC